AGAAGCTAAGGCTGCTTAATGGTCCAATGGAAAAATAGCAAATAGAATAATGAAGCTTGAGAACATCTTCTTGGCTTTTTACTGAGTGAGCAAAAAGAGATGTGTTTTATCATCACAATAATTTTGCAGTTGTACTGTGGATGTCTTCACAGTAGTGTTCCGTCCCCCTAGAAATATCCTTGCATTTTCTGGACATCTTTCAATTTCTGGGTTGTGTGGTATGTCAAGGGAAAAGAGGGACTCAGATGACAGTCCTGAGGATGAGTTAAGCTTAAAAGTTTAATTTCTAATGCTATGTTTCTCCAACATAAAACATACTGTTCTAGTGAAAGAACTAATTATATATCCTTTCAAATGTTTTTCCAACTAATGATCCTCTGTGGCTTAAAATTATACTGACAAACAACAACTGCAGTCGCTTTTAAACTAATGATACAATCCATGGATTATTTCCTCTAAATAGCTCAGAGATGTGAATGAATGAATCGTACATCATGCAGGAAGCAATTTCCCTCAATGGATTCTACCTGATAGAATCTCAGTGCATTTCAGATCAAGTAAAAGCTCTTTCAATTGAAATAAGACTCTGAAACTGGCTCTGGAGTAAAACCTAAACCCTGAGGGGTGACAGCTGTGAATATATTTAGACCTTTCCGCTTTCCAGGAGCTCTCGTGTTGCAAACGTCTCTCTTCCCTGCACAGCAACTTATTTTGTGCAGGAATCTAATGACGTAGGTGGCTTTCAGTCATTCTTTCGAAGTTTCATCCCCCTTAATGTGGGTTGGCTTTCTAATGGGTTACCATACTGCAATCGCTTAACCACATTCCCCAGAGGTTTATTTCTTTCTGATCTTCACGATGGTGTAGACATACAGGTGTTCATCAGGAAACTAAGGCACTTCAACAAACCCAGTGGCAGCTCCTGGGATGTTGTAATTGGAAGTAAAGAGATGCATCCCAACCCAGAAAAATTAAAAAAATAACAATACTATTTGCTTTTTGCTTCTAGTTCTATCGTGCCAATACCCTGGTGTGTGAGAGTGTGTGTGTGTGTGTGTGTGTGTGTGTGTGTGTGTAATGGAGCTCTTTTCTCCTGGGGCAGATCTTACGCAGGTAATCCTGTTTATCTTTGTTTGCCTAACTCTTTATTTTGCTTGCCTTGTTTGTAGGTATTTTTGGAGAAGAAAAATAATCTTCTGTGAGTAACCTGAAACTCTCGGAATGCTAATGAATTACACAAAGTCAAGCACCTACTCTAATGGAGTCAGATTCTAGTACAAGTCTTCTAGCTGTGGCAACAACCTGGTATCTGGCCTCACGCTGCTGTCACTGTGATGGTTACTATCCCTCCAAAGAGACCACAGACACTTTATGGACAGAGGTACTTCAGGGGCACCGCTGTCCCTTACACAGGGCTGAGTACACTAATAGTTTATGTTTTAGGCACTGCGGGATGGCTTTCTTTAATATATATTTAGGACAGATGAAAGGGGTTATAGGTGACATGGCTGCTTTTAACCACCTGATTCACAGGTCTGGGGAGATTTGCAGCATGTAATAGACTCAGCCTGGGAAATGGAGCCAGAGTAAGAAATTGTAAAATCTGGGCTCTGGTTTCTTTGCTGACATTTAGCTGGTTAGATGATCTTTGGTGACCTTAGCTGAAAGGGGATAAGGCCTGTGCAAATGCCCCGCTGCATGTTCTAAGGAAGCGGGAGATGAGGAACATAGACTGTTTAGTGCCACACAAGTGCCCACACATCATCGCTGACACGATGTCGTGGTTCTCTCCGGGACCCCAGACTACCTATAGTGGTAATTACACGGCACAGGGAGGAAAAGAAGAGACACAGCAAAGGTAGGAGTCACTGAAGAGACTGGTGGGTACCTGCTTTCCTATAAATCTGTGGAGATGAAAAACAAAGGCCTTGAAATAAATAACCAGCATCCTTCCACACACACTTGTTCAGCAACTACCATATTTCAGGCACTTTTCTATGTTTTATTAGGATAATAAGAGTCACCCTTTATTAAAAGCTTATCATGTGCCGGGCCCCACAGCAAGAACTGCAATAAGTGTAATCACCACTGAATGGAATTTGTATTATTATTTACATTTTATAAATGATGAAATTAAGGCTCAAAGCAGTTAAATAACTGTCCTAAGGCCATCCAGCTAATGAGGGACAGAAAGAGCAAAAGAGGTGAAGGATGGAATCTCGGATCAGCTCCTGCCCTTGTTACATCTCAGCTGACTTCCTGTCTGGTGGCTTTATGTTCTATGGGGGCAGCGGTGGTCTCCACATGGAACTGCTTGGCACACGGCACTATGGGCACCGGTTCAGAAGCCCTGTTGGTGCTGCCCATGGTGAGTTGGATCAGGGCAGGGTTAGATTCTGCAGCTCGTGCTCTGGAAGTTGCCTAGCTTGGGTGGGGCTAACCCCTGGTCAGACTGTTAGCTGAAAGATCAACACCCATTGCATCCAATCCTGAGAGACTGTAAGTAACAGATGGTAAGGTGACTGGATCCAGAGAACCAAGACGAAGGAAGATCTGCCACAGGCAGATCTCAGCGATCCAAACAGAAGGATCCGAAGTCTGGGGTTCCGTGCACTGGGAAAACTGCCCAGTCAACAGGGGACATGGCTAAACCTGGAGCGCTCGTAGGAGGCTGTTGAGGCAACCTATAATTTACTCACTGCTGGACAGATGACCTGTTCTTAGAGCCAGCCAGAGGATGTGGGTGACCCTACCCCTGACTTGGACAAGGCTAGACCCTCACATGGAGAAGAACTTGGCTTAGATATGCAGGTGGTAGGTGACCCGTCCCGCAGGTCGAGCAACGAGGACTCTAGAGGGGGAGTGAGGATGAGGAGGGACAAGAGACACGAGAAATGGAGACAAGACAGGGTTCTGATCAAGTCTCGTTTATTCAGGGGGAGTTCACATACTATCTAGGGGGAAAACAGGTGAAACAGTTAATGAGTATCCCACCTGAAGCAAATTCCAGTAAATACCCCAGGTGGAACAAATAAGCAAAGAATGGAGTAAACAGTTATCTAGAGGAATGCAGACACTGCACGCAGAGAGACCCCGCCCTGGGGCCGGAGACGGCAGAGCAGACTTAACAAGATGGATGCCATGCAGATGGTCTCCCACAGGAGGGCACTTCTATGCCTGCATGGGGGTCTCTTGGACTCCACAGAGTTGTACTTTCCAGAAAAATTCAGATATGGGCACCAGTACTCAAGCCCAAAGGAAACAATAGAAGGATAAATGAATGACCTGCTTCCGACGCTAGTGATAGGATGCCAGAGCCTTTGTGGTGGTACCAAGCTTTGCCTAAAGACACATGGTCCAGACCCAAAGAACAGCAATCTTAGCTCTCCCGTTCCTCTACAGCTAAAACCGACCGACCGACCAACCGACCAACCAACCAAACCAAATTGCACCCTGGTGCTTCATTCCACTGTACATTTCAAGGGAACTTAAAGCCCTTGCTCTTTTATTTTGAGCTTTATATGCTTCATGCTTTTTGTACTCACTACTCTGGTTTCTTTGCAGCATAGATACCACCACTGACAGAGGATAGGCATGATTTTTATAAAGTATTTCTGACCAAGGGGCCTCCTGGTTAATGAATCCTGTGTAGAGCAGGTAGCTACTCCCCGCCTCTAATCTCTAATCCTACTCCAAGGGGAAAGGAACAATGCTTCCTAGCTGCCCATGAATGAAAAATCAGCTTATTTCAGAATCATCCCTAAACTTCACACCCACGTGGAAGTTGAAGCCACTGCCCCTGTGAGTTATCGCCAATGGTGGGGCACCGTTATGTTCAGTGATGGATGCTGGAAGCTCTGGGCTGGGGGTCAGGAGAAGCCGCTTCTGGTCTCAGCTCTTTCACAAACGGTTAGACGTTGCTATTTAACCCATCTGGGTCTCGGTGTACTTACTCGTCTGGACAGCGTGAGGGTTAGATTTAATCCTCCCGTACAGGCTGTGTAGCTGTAACGCATAAATGAACACATATGCACATATTATTAAAGCATTTAGAATCACGGATGTGAATAATGTTAGTAATATTTAGTAGCTACTATTTTTTTTTTTTTTTTTAGTTACAGATGTCTAATAGTTATTTAATGCAAGAGCAATATTAATTCTACCGTAAACTACTTCTGGGCTTTCTGTACGCCATTTACTGATAATGGACATCTTTGGAATTATGACTCTAATAATATGTGTGTATATCAGTCCCTATTTAGTTGACTGGTTATTGCTGTCATTAGCATTATGCAGGTTGTAAAAATAAGAGTTACAAGTTATTCCCTCTCTTGGTTATGATAGAATGCTGCCTCATCCTTCTTTGCTCAGTTTCTGGTACCATGCAATGACCAGTAACACCCCCCCCCCCCCGCCCAGTCCCCACAAATGGCTGTAACAAGGACAGCTGAGCCCTCCTACAATGCACACCTTGATTCTTTTGTGAAGGAGAGCCAGGCTCTAGTCCAAACCAATATGTCCTTATATAAAGTACTCTGGGGGAAAAATAGCTTCCAAGTGCTCTTCAAACCCAAGGCATTAGAATGAATGATGAATACAGCCCCTCTCATTGTGACACCTCTAGGCGAAGAGTTGTGACACTTATATTGAAAAAGAATCACAACACAGCATGAAATCACCCCTGGTGCAGAATGTCAGCCATTGTGAAAAGTGTTTGAAGCAGCCCAGGCCGGAGTGGAGCGCTCGGCGGATAACGGACTGCACTGCATGAGCCAGGACGCCGGCGCCCAGTGACGTGCTCAGGTGGAGCTGCGTGGGCCTCACCCCTGTGGTCTCCCTCGCCTTTGGCCACATGCCTTGGAGACAGGGTCTGCTGCACTTTTGCCTCAAACTGTGTCTTCCTTCACTGAAATGCTGACACTGTTGTCTAAATCCCTGTGTGTCTCTTCCTCTTGTCTAGACTGTAAACCTTTGAGGTCACTGACCACCCCTTTTATTTTTTTCACATGGAACGCTTCACGAATTTGCATGTCCTCCTGGAGCAGGGGCCATGCTAATCTTCTGTGTCTCGTTCCAACTTTAGTCTACGTGCTGCCAAAGCCGGCACAGGGACCACGTGTTTTATTTTTCTAATTTCCCTCTTTAGTTCAAGAAGGGTGCCTGACACAAAGCGGATCCTAAATACTTGCTGAATGAGCAAACATATGAATGGATGAGCAAGTGAATCCTAAGCTTATTTTTTAGATTAAGTTTTAAAAAATTCTATAAAACATCGGATATACAGAAAGGTAAAGTTTATCTTTCATGACTCACTATGATATTACTCCTACCATTCCCAATAACTGTGATTCCAGTGGTTGGTATGGATGTAACACTATCCACTTCAAAACTGCCTTTGTCTGACCACTGACCTTCATCTGCATTAGACATGTTTCTGCATTAGACATGTTTCCTCTTGCAGCTGTGGGCACTGAGGCCGTTGAAGTTAAGTGATTTGGCTGCACAGTGGATCAGTGAGCATGCACAGGCCCCTAGTTTGCTCTTTTTTCCACTGGATGAGGACCAAATGACCAGGACAGCAAAATAATGTGGCGAGGAACCTGAGGCTGAGAGAGCAAGACATCCAATGAAATGGAGACAGAGTTGGCTACTGTATTTGCTGCCCTTCTATGCCAACTTGTTACAAGCTCAGTCTTGGCCCACTACTGGGTCTCATCTTCTGAAATAAGGAAACCAGGGCTCTCTTGTTTGCTACTGTATCTCCAGTCTCCAGCACAGGGTCCAGCACAAGTGAGTGCTCAGGAAATAGCTGTTGAATAGTTGAATAAATAAATGAACTGATGAAAAAATGGTTGAACAGAAAGATGCACAATTTAGATCATTCTTCTTGCTACATGGCCACAGATAACCTACACTCCATCCCCTGTCCCAGCCTCTTCACATAGACATTGATGCTTGTGTGATCCAGGAAAAAAGTTGTGGCTAGGTCCATACAAGTCCATTCCTCTCATTAGAAAACAGACTCACATGGCCAGGTGAATGTACCAAATGGTTAGAGCCCTCATTCCCATAACATAAACACAATCAATTTCTGGGGCTGTGGGCTGGGCCAAGACAAGCCTTGGAGAAGTCTGTCTGTGTGGCAGAAATAAAGCCCAATTTTAATGTATGAATTGGTTAGGAGTCATGCCGAGCTCTGCAAAATTGTGGATTTGGAAATCTGGTCCTTGGAAACTGTTCCCTCAACCAACAGCCTAGTCGTAGTCAGTTCTCCAGATAGTTCCAGCATGTTGCCTGGGAGTTCCAGGCTCCAAGTTATGATTTCAGTATACCTTCCATCATAGCGCTGATGGGCCTGATGCTTTATTCTTACTGCGGAGATGGCACATCTTTTTTTTATTTTTATTTTTTAAATTTTTCTTTATTGACTTTGGAGAGAGAGGAAGGGAGAGGAAGAGAGAGAAACATTGATGAGAGAGATCATTGATTGGCTACCTCCTGCATGCCCCTCACTGGGGATCAGGCCCACAACCTGGGCATGTGCCCTGATCAGGAATCGAACCAGTGACTTCTTGGTGCATGGGTCGATGCTCAACTACTGAGCCACACCAGCCGGGCAAGATACACATCTTATATGTATGTTTCTAGTGAGTCATTTAGAGCTGATCAAAGTTTTCTATTCCACCTCTCTAAGAGTATTTGCCTTTAATATTTAGGGGTTTCTGATAAAGAGATTTTGGAGGACTGTTAATTAAGGGGGACAGGAAAGAATTCATATTGCCCAGGAATTTCTTATCTTTCACTGCAAACTGCCCTGTATACACATACGTGCACACACACACACACACACACACACAAACATCCTTATACAAAGACAGGAACCCCAGTCACAGAGCCTAATATATCCTGCCTCATCTTAGAGCAGTCATTTCTGCCTCATTTGTGCCTGGAAGATCAAGTCTTTCAGTCCAACTCCTATAAATAAAATAATGTCTTTCCTCAACAGACCTCATACTGTAAACATTTTAAAGCTGATATTATACAATAAAATAATTGTTTAAATAGGAATATATTTATCACTACTAAATAGTTATTATATTTAGACCATGTAAAATGGCTTTTTAAAGAGGAAAATAAAAAGATGTTGTTAAGAATTTTATTAGATCAAATGAAACTTTTAAGTTTTATTGGAGAGGAATAAAGGCCCCTAATTGGAATTGGTTTTATGGGCCTCTAAGTCTATTTTAAATAGGGGCAGTGAGTTTGAGAGAAACACAAACCTGGCTGTATTCTTGCTAACTGCCCTTGTGCAGCTCCAAGCTGGGTTTGGGTTAACACAAAGCTGGTGACTGTCTTAGCTCCTGCCCCCTGTTTTCCCACCATTCCCAGCTTCAGCTTGTCACCGACGGTTTGCTAATCTCCATCTCCATGTTGATTCTAGTCCATACCACCCTGGTCTCCGCCAGGACTAGTCTGGCAGCCTCCCAGTTACTTCCCACAACTGCTCTTGTCCACCAATCCATCCTCCACTCTGTGGTTACATCAGTGGAAGAGCCCTTCTGAGGCCCTTCACTGACTGTTAGGATAGAATCCCATGTCAGTACCATGGCAGCGAGCTGGACATGATGAATATCCACACTGTCCTGAGAACAGTTTGTCTTCCTTGTCTAATGGCCATGGCCAGAGCACATGCCCGGGCAAAACCACTCTGAGCCAATAATCTCCTTCTCAAAATGCCAGTGAACAAGCTCAGTACGTTTAGAGCTACAGAGCTAAACATTAGAGGTTGATGAGTGGTAAGTCAGTGTTTCTAGGTGAATGTTAGTTCCATCACAGAGAACTTAAAGGTGCTTACAACGCAGGAGGGTGCCCAACTGTGTTAGTGATAAAAGCGAGGGCAGATGCCCTCCATGGGTGTTCTTCTGAAAACATTTGTATTTTATACATAGATGACCTAGTTATATTCCCAAATGTTCCTAGAATCCGTTAAAGGTGTCACTGTTCTGTAAAAACATATTACTATGAACAATAGCAAGGTGATCTCAAATCAAGCAATACTGCCACTAAGATGGCATCTATTAACCCAGGAAAACTTTAATCGCCCCAATTGTAATGATCTTTTATAATTCACTATTGCTATGATGACTACTACCGTCAATAACAGTGATTTTAAAAAATGTGGGTACAGCACTTTGTAGTTTAAAAGAGCCTTTGCCTACACTATTAAATTGTATGAGATTTATACAATCATATAGATAGTGGGAGTCAACAGATTTTTCCCATAAGGGCCAAATAGTAAATATTTTAGCCTGTGGGTCATAGGGCCTCTGTGCTAGCTATTAGCCCTGCCACCGCAGCGTGCAAACAGCCATCGACAGCCGGTAAACGGATGGGTATGCCAATAACACTCTGTTTACACGAACAGGGGGACCTGGTTTGGCTTGTGGGCTGCAGTTAGATCATGCAGGATGTATCATCCTTTCTTTGTAGCTGTGGAGGCTCAGGTCAAAGGTTACATGATTTTCCCAAGGCCATCCAGTACAGTGAAAGAACAGGGACGTGGCGCACGCCAGCTCAATCTGATCATTGCTACTGAACTGTGATGGCCAACTCACCAGCAGAGGGCGCCCCCGGGGCATCATGCTGTGCACCAGGAAAGGCACGTCACCGCAGCTCGGGCTCTGGCCTAGCAGCCTGGCTCCTCTTAGCTGTGTCACCTCAGTCACTTCAATCCCCTTAGCCTCAGTCGATTCATCTGAAAAATGAGGAGACTGAATGAGGAATCTCCCCGCTGGCTTTAAGGTGTTGTGTTGTTGTCTGGCCGGTATGGCTCAGTGGTTGAGCATCGACCCATGCACCAAGAGGTCACCGGTTTGATTCCTGGTCAGGGCACATGCCCAGGTTGTGGGCCTGATCCCCTATGAGGGGCATGCAGGAGGAGGCCAATCGATGTTCTCTCTCATCGATGTTTCTGTCTCTCTCTCTCCCTCTCCCTCTCTCTCTCTAAAAGCAATAAAGAAAAAAATTTTAATAAAAAAATGCCGTGTTCTTAAGATGAGAGATGGGGCAGGAATATTTTATGGTGAGGTAGTCAAATTGATTGATTATTTCAAAATTTGCAGTATTTACATAGAAGTTATTATTAACCAACTAATAAATATTTACTGATCCTATTATGCTGTAAAAAGATGGAAGGGACATATGACATAGTCTCTGTCTTTAAATAATTGATAATTAGGAAGCAATTTATAGCACTTGTAGAAAGTGAGTCAATAATCAGTGGGTGGAAAACATCGCTTGGTAGAGATGGTAAGTTCCTTCGAATTTCCGAGGGCAGACGTCAGCGAGAGCAGGGCTGTCAGAAAGCCCCATGGAAGGGCTAGATGCTGCTCTGGTTCAGAGGATGAACAATGGAGGGGTGGTGAAGAGAGGCATCATTCCACGGCTGACAGGGGCAGGTGTGAAAACCCAGGTATAGCAGTTGCTCACGTGTGTTGTAGTAGGTCAGTGGGTCTGATTAGGCTAGATGGTGTGCCTTGAGAAAAACACAGGATGAATTGATTCGGTATAGCTTTGTTATGTTGGGATATAGTACCATTTACAAAAATACAGCACAAAAATTTTCAGCTTTGCCATTTTTTACAGGCTGGGCTTTGCTCCAATGAGTGCACTAGGAGGTTTGCGTGGATTTTATCTTATTTTGAGCCTCGCAGTAAAGCACGTTCATGGAGCAGCTGAACATTCATGATCATTGACGCAGGTCCCTTATCTCCAATTCCCCAGAAGAAGGTTGGGCAGACCTGCCCCTGTTTAGTGGAGTAAGGAGGGTGGGGCTTCATTTATTCTATTCCTAGAATCTTAAGATAGAAAAGAGGCTCCCACCCCCCCATCCCTTCTAACATTTTTCTCAAATAGGGAGGCAATTTAGAAGGGATACTTTAGTAATTAAAGCCAATTCTCTTTAGTCACCAAAGGTACTTGGCTTGCAAGGTTTGGGGTTGGCTGGTTTATTAACCTACATGGTTCTCCACAAGGTTCTCTAATCTTTTGTCCCCCACCTGACTTCTGAGATGACCCACAAAGAATCAAACGGAAAACATAATTGGA